AGCGGGAGAGGGAGAAGCAGGCTTCCCGCCGAGCAGGGAGCCCGATGTGGGGCTCGATCCCAGGACCCCGGGATCATGACCTGAGCCGAAGGCAGGCGCTCAACGACTGAGCCACCCAGGTACCCCAAAAAACAAAATTTCAACAGAGTGCTGGGCATACCCAAGCCAAGGGAGGCATGTGTGAAGTATCTCCATTTCTTCCAAAGACAGTTCTCATGATCTCTCTACCTCGACTTAGGGGAACACTCAGATTCCTCTGGTTCCACCAGTGTGCCCCCTCCATGCCTGCACTAGGCTGTGAGGGGATCCAGGTGGGTTGGGTATTAAGACAATGCCCTGAAAATAGGAGCCTCAGTGTGGGAAATTTGCTAGAAATTGCCAGGTTGGCCTCCAACAGGTGCGGGAGTGCAGGCTCCTGATCAGGTGGGCGGCTGCCGGCCACCTCACCAGCGGTGCCATGAACGACAGCGTGGTGGTCACGTTCAGTGCTTGTGAGTAGCCATTGGTGGTCCATGGGGACAAACTGTGACGTAAAGACAGAACCCCCGCAGGCCAACTCACTTCCTACAGGAGGTCTGGTTGGCCCCCAAGTCACCAACTATAGCTGACCCTCAGTCCCTTTTTCCTAGATTAATGGAATTCGGTGCTGGAGGTAGGGCCAAACAACAAAAAACAACAACAAAAAAACAAGCCTCATCTGAATTTGCTTTGAGGGTGTGGAGTCTGCATCATGTCATGTTTTCTATTGACTCTTCTCCAGACGGAGAGGGTGAGACAGGGGAAGAGGATGTTCGTTTGTCACTGAAGAGGAAGTCGCCTTCCATTGCACCTAATGTTTGGATTAGAGTTTGCAGCTCCAGTTGTGAGGAAGGAGGCGAGGGCAGAAGAAAGTGAAGGCCAAGAAGTACATGAGTGGAGAGAAGAAAGAAAGCCCATGCGCAGACCAAGGATGCTTTCGGACAGGGCTTTGGGCTCAGCACCTGCCACCCCCCCGCCCCCCGCCCCAGCTCCTGTGTCTTTAGGGCAGAAGCCACACCTGGCGGCGGGGGAGGGGGGCAGTATAGGCACCTGGACCCTCAGGCAGATTCAGCTGGGGCAGCAGTTTAGGCCAAGGACCCTCATGTCCCAAACAATCACATGAAACAATCAGTGTGCTTGAATGCCAAGCTCGAGCGACATGAAGTCATGATATGGGGGCCACTCCATATGATGGGATCTGTAAATATATGCACTTGATCCTTGAACAGCATGGGTTTGAACTACACGGGTGCACTTACGTGCAGATTTTTTTCAATAAATACAGGACAGTACTGTATCTGTATTTTCTCTTCCTTGTGACTTTCTTAATAACATTTTCTTGTCTCTGGCTTACTTTATTGTAAGAATAGTGTATAATACATATAACATACAAAATAGACATTAATCGACTGTTTATGTTATCAGTAAGGCTTCTGGTCAACAGTAGGCTATTGGGAGTTAAATTCTGTGGATTTTTGACTGCACAGGGTGTCTGCACCCCAAGCCCTCTCATTGTTCAAGGGTCAATTGTATATTATTAAATCCATTTGTGGAAAGGGTCCCCTGGGACATACAGAAGGGATGGAACAGCACCCTCAGCACCCCTTCCCCACCCTAAGCAAGAGTATGACTCTGTATCCTCCTTCAAGTCATAAGCCACTTTATTCCAGTCCCTTGAACATCACAGACTGGCTTGATTTCAGACAGAACAGACTCCACTTCCAGAGGTCCCGCATCACAGCAATGACAATGAACAGCCCATCAAAGGAATGACCTAAACCTTTAGTCATTCAGCCTTCTAAGTGCTGCAGAGTCCCTTGGCCAAATTTAAGTGCACTGGATTAGACATACAAAGCCCTTCCTGGAAAGGAGTAGAAGGAAAAAACAACCATCAAGAAAATACAGACAGGGTCAATGGCAGGCCAGGACAAGACTATTTGCATACATCCCAGGCATGTCAGCATTCATTAGCCAGGCGTCTGGCTCTGTTTTCTCTCCTAAACATCTGGAGCCCCTCTTCCTTGCTCCTCACTCCAGCTCTCAGTTCTAGGGAACTGGGTGAGTCTGGCTCATCAAGATGTCCTGACTGAGGGTAGAGCTTAGGCGGGCTTGCCCAAACATTAACTGACTCCCCTTCTAAGGGGAACTGAAAGGGGGAATTAGGTCATCAGTCCAGAGCAGTGGGATGCACCTCCTGAACATCACTCACTGTGCCCTCCGCCTCTTAGTTTAATTCCCTAGTTTTCAAACCCAGATCTTACCACTTGGCCCAGAGAAGGAATTTGGCAAGTCTCAGGATAGACCCACTGTGAGGAATGGACACTCAGAGGAAGATGAAGATGATTTTACCATGTCTAGGTCTCCTAATTTCATCCTGCAAAGTTAGTTCATTTTGGTCAACCATACAAATTCAGATTTTTGCTACCAGTTAAAAGGGACTCAAGTAATACAGAAGAATCTGGAGTTAGAATGGGCTCAGCATCATCTTCCTCATAGTTCTGTTTGTCTTTCTGTGGGTCATGGTCTACAGAAAGTAGTTTGGCTGCAGATAAACCCACTCGGGACCTCTCTGCCTCCTCCCGGAGCAGATCCTCCCCATCTATGTCCTTGAGTGTTTGGACTTCCCCAGGCCTACTACTTGTGAAAATATGACTGACTTACTTGTGATCAGCAATTTTTACTCTTAACTTGCAATTCCAATTAGTGTGTGTGAGGTCACCAGACCAAAGAGTGACTCAAATTTGCACTGTCACTTTTGAAAACAGAAATTGGCATTCAAAGAACATGATGATGCAAAATACTTTTGGATTCCCCACAGTGGGCCCTGGAAAGCACAGACGCCCTTGGCCATCCCTTCTTCACAATGAGTCAGCTCACTGCCCAATCTTGGACTCTTTGAAGGGCCACCAGGGGCATGAAAAGGTCAACATTGCAGATACAGCTCCCTAACCATAATGTGGATCAAACCAAAGGGAAGTCTCAAGAATTTGTATGTGTGTGTGTGTGTGTGTGTGTGTGTGTGTTTCGGGTCGACAGAATATTAATCTACTCAGAAAAACACCGTACCTCCAATCTAATACCATCGAGCCGCTGGTGCTCCAATGGACATGTCCCACTTAAACCTGCCCTACTTCTGTTCTGCAGGCACTACCACTCTGGAAATGCATTCAGAATTAAGGTTGCGCCCTAGTCATGGTGACTTTGTACTTCTCTGGAATATATAAAATATACCTGTTGATTGGTGCATTTGTGCAAAGACAGATACAACTTTAAAACAAGACATAGACATTCATTATAGTTGGCTTACTTCACATTAAGCTACTAAAAACAGTCTTCTATAATAAGATTGTATTAGTGCTCACTAAACATGCATTTCATTTAAACAAGGCAAAACACTTAATTTGGTCTGCAATACCCAATATTTTATATACAGCACTCTTTTTTTTTTTAATCACAATAGGCAACAAGATGGGTCTGGTTTTGTTATATAAGTTACCATTTGTGTTTAATTTCCAAAGAAACTCAGCTTAGCTCAACTAGTGTAAACGTGTGAAGAAACAGCTGAGCCATCTTTTCCTCTTCTCTATGAATTTACCTTGAAATGTTCACAGCTTAGACACTACAGCCCGCTGGGGAAGAGGGGGGAGTGGAGGCCTCCAGGCGCTTTCACAGCCTGGCCCCACAGGGTCCCTTGTCCTTGGGAAGCCAGCACCAGGCGCCATCACCCCGGGGGCTGCCCGTGTGGCTCCAGACCCAGCTGGGGAGTTTTGTTTTTCAAACAGGCCCCTGGAAGCTGGCCACAGAATCCCGGGACTGGCTTGCTTTCCCTTCTCTTGCCTCCCCGAGTCTTCGGTTTGAGAACAGAGACATTGGAATCAGAAGAAAAACAACAGTAAGAACGATGGAAACTCAAGGAACAAGGAACATCACAAAGTCTGCATGACAGCGCGTCCATGCTCTCCACAAGCGCGTTGGGGCTCTGGGCATCCCCCGGACAAAGGAAGCCGAAGGCGTCACGGAGGAAGGTGCGTCTGACCGCACGGGGGCGGGGGGGGGGACAGCGTCACCATCAATATTGATCGGCAAAAAAAAAAAAAAAAATTGTTAAAACGAAAAGGTGGAAAGGGGACGCAAGCAGCTCTACGATCCGTGGGGCGCGGGGCTCAGAACTGGCCCGCGCTGCTGGGGTCACACTGCAGGAGGCGCACTATGGACGGGTCGCTCTTGGCCCCTCGGATGAACTCCTCCAGGGACAGTTTTCCTAGAAAGCAAGAGGACAGGTGAGAGGGGCTGGTGGCAGCTGCAGGGACGTGCGCTCGTCCCCCCGCACCCCCCCCACCCCGTCCCCCCACCTCGCCCCAGGAGGGCGTGGGCGGTTCTCACTGGGTGTTTGTACAACAGATAGCTGGCCTTTGCCTTTTTAAGAGAGCAGACTGCACTCCTGGCGCTCCAAGGCCGTCACAGGGTTCCCGGTGTCCCCAGAGCCTTCTGGCCTCCTTGGGGTAGCCTTAGTTTTGCTGCAAGAGTCCCTCTCTCTCCCTGCATGTGAGCAGAGGGGCCCGCACAGATACCTGGGGGGAGGACAACATGGGAGGGGCTGCCCCTCCATGCAAAGTAAGGAGAAGAAAGGGGTGTGTGCACGAGGCAGAGGGGAGTCCTCGGGTCCCCGGGGTCAATCAGAACAGGCTGGAGGAGGGAGACATGACCCCCTGGGATCCCACTTTTATCCGTGTGTCCCTTTCCTTCCTGAGTAAGCTGGAATATGTATGGATTTCTCTTCTGGAAGGTCAGTCCGTCATATAGTTGGGGAGGGCAAAGCTTCTCCTCCCTTCCTGGTGCTTCCAGAAGGTCCCATCCTTGGGGGGGAGCAGCTGGGCCTGCTCTAGATAGAAGCTCCCAGAGAGGACTTGCCTCCAAGGGCCCATCCAAGGATGTCCCTGCCCGCCGGGCTCCCTGCTGCTGTGGGGCTTGTCTGCAGGCCCTCGGGCTCTCACACTAGGTTTCCTCCCTCCCACAAACTCCATCCTCGACCTCAGTGATTGCTCCCTTATTTCTCAACTGATTCCAGACCCAGACAGGAGGGGCGCCACCCACTGAAGCCCTCATCACCCACCACTGGGAGACATCAACAAATATGTCTTCCCCTTCACCACAACCCCCTCCCCCAGCACCGAGTTCTTATTTGACCAAATCTACTTTAGCTACAAGAAGGAGAAGGGTGGGCTTTTATCTATTTATTTTTAACAGAGAGCAGGCCACGTCTAGGCTTTGTGTCCTGGCTATTTCTCGAGAGCTGTGGCCTGCTCGGGCAGTGGTTGAAACGGTGGTGACTTCTTAGGTCTGAAAGGCTGGCTCCAGGGAGGGAGGGCGGATGGAAGTGGCCACTTGAACACTTGGGGGTCTCCCCAAGGTGAGCGCTGGGAACCTCGGCCTGCAGCAGCGGGGCAAGCCCTGCATTCTTCCTCGGTGGCTGGGTCTCTTGGGTCAGCTCCCCTGTGTGCGTCTGAGTAGACTCCAGGGCTGATTTGCCTGTGGGCCCAGACTTTTCAAGTCCACAGCCAGGGGCTAGAGGCAAAGGGCTTCCACCAAGAGGAATCTAATGGCGGGAGCCTCTCGGTGAGGTCTTTGCTCCAGGTGGGGGTACCGGACCCTGCCTGGGCTCCCAAAGCAAAGCACCGCAAGCACCAGGTCTCGGGGACTGTCTCCTCCGACCGCGCCCAGGCTTCGAGCCCCTCCCCCTCCCCGGTACAGCTCCTCCCCCGCCTCCCCCCCTCCCCCCGCTCCCTTTTCCCCCATCGAGGAAAGCACAGGGCCTTCAGCAGCCGGATGTGCAGCAGGACTGCTAGCGATCGGGGCTCTGTGACGCCCTCGTAGCGAGCCCCTAACCCCTTGCCTGTGACCCGCGCACCGTGAGGGTTTCGGCCGCTCACCCTGCAGCCCTCCTCTATGCAGGGGCGGGGCGGGAGCAGGACGCAAAGCCACCTGTGCTCCCCTGGAGCGCCAGCAGACCTGCCGCTTTAGATCGGCAAGCTCAGGAACTATTAAACGACCCCAGGTGTTTAGTCCTCCCAAACAAGCTCTTCGCTGTGAATTACGGTGCATTAGGGGAGATGGGATGCAATAGCACATTTGCGCAGGAAGCAAACAGGTCGGCCCGCACCCCGGAAAGCCGGAGTCTGCGGCAGCCAGTGCCCCGGAGGGGCATGGGGGTAGAAAGAGAGGCTCCCTGTGCTACCTACAAAGCCTCCCGTCGTTCTGTCCACCGGTGCTATTTGGGGTAGAGGAAAGCATTTGCGCATCGCTGACAGGATTTGCCGCGGATCCGCGGCGGAACAGGGGAGCTGGTAATAACAGGAGGGGCTGCAGAAGACTGGGTTTCCTCCGCAGCAGGCTCAGAGCTCAGCACTTCAAATTCAGGTGTCACATCTAAATAGGACTGCCACATCGGGGACATAAAATACGGGATGTCCAGTTAACACTGAATTTCAAATAAACGATAATTTTTTTTTTCATATAAGTGTGTCCCAAATATTGCATAGGAAACACTTCTCTAAAGAACACCATTTGTTCTTTATCCAAAATTCAAAGTCGTTTGGGCCTCCTATATTCCATCTGGCAACCCAACATCTAAAATCCACTAATCTTGGGCGCCTGGGTGGCTCAATTGGTTAAGCGACTGCCTTCGGCTCAGGTCATGATCCTGGAGTCCAGGGATCGAGTCCCACATCTGGCTCCCTGCTCGGCAGGGAGTCTGCTTCTCCCTCTGACCCTCTCTCCTCTCATGCTCTCTCTCACTCTGTATCTCAAATAAATAAATAAAATCATTAAAAAAATAAAATAAAATCCACTAATCTTGAGTTTGAAATCCAGCCTTCCTTTTCACTTTGGATTGTTTTGAATCCTCTTGTTGGGTTTGAATTGTTTTGAATCCTCTTGTTGAATTCCTCCGGGTGGAGAGTGCTGGCCACCTGGCTCCCCTCCTGGCCCACACAGGCTGGGGAAGACCACGTGGCTCCAGGAAACCCCGACACCTTAGGGCATGCGCAGAAGAGCCCAACCGCACCCCCTGGGCAGGCTGGGGTGAAAGCCACCAGATCTGGGTGGAATTACACCAAGTCCCTCTCTGCTTTCTGATTAGCTGGCCTGCAGGTATCCAGCCTGCTGTGACCTAGGCCTGGCCCACCTGGGTCCCTCTCTGTCCTGCACTGCCAGCGAGCATATGAGATGAGCCCCTTTCACAAAGAGCTGTGAGCCAGGTCCTTGCGACTAATATCTTGTCCTTGAGTGGCATCTGCCTGCCCGGGTGGCCCCTGGCCCTCCAGCAGTCCCCACTCTGAGCAAAGCCAAGTGCCACGGCCTCCTACCATCTCTGTTGGTGTCCATCTGGCGGAAGATCTTTTCTGTCCTTTTCTCTGGGGTTGACTCATCTTCAGGCATTTTCATTACAGAGGAAACCATCTTATAGATTGCCTAGGGACAGAAATGATGTGATAGTAAGACAGAAACAGAATAGCCTTATCAGTAAAGCTCCCAGAGCAGAGGGGCGAAGGGGGTGTCCCCCATGAACACAGGGAGCTAGTCCGATCCCTGCTGATGTGCTGTAGAAAACCAGTGTGTAGGGACTAGCTCCAGCAGTGAGAAGCTGGCAGGAAGACGGGCTCACCCCTGTGTCTCAGACTGTCAGGCGCATACGAATTCCCTGGGGAGCTGGTGAAAATGCAGAATCTGATGGGGGGGGGGTCATGGGGCCTGGGATTCTGCATTTCTAACACGCTCCTGTGTAGAGCTGTGGTTGCTGCCCGGAGAATACCACTTCTAGTAGCAGGGCTGTGGATGACATCCCTCAGGCCAGAAATACGGGTCAGTGTCTCTATCTGGTCCCTCAAGGATAATAAACATCTGATGGTCTGCAAGTGTCTGCCCACGCCTTCTCCCAGGCAGACATCACTAATTCATCCTGATGCCCCCCCCCCACCTCCCATATGTGGCAGTCGCCTCACATGGCTTCCCAGCAAGCTCCCGGGCATCCCCAAGATGGAAGCAATCTGCCATCCAAGCTTTGCATTAAATAATTATGCAACTCGAGGCTTGAGGTAAATTGGGTACATCTGAAATCTGATGAGCAACAACAGATGTTCCACTGAGTTTTGTAAGCGGTACTGAAACAGTCTCCCCCACCACCTTGGACCCCCTGTGCTACTCAGTAAAGGCCTGGAAGGCCTGTTGTCTAATGTAGTTTCAATTTGGAAATAATGTAAAGTCATTGTTCTCATTCCCAGACCATCAGGTGTTTAATATCCTTGAGGGACCAGGTAGAGAACCAGCCCGTCTTTCATCAGATTTTGCTCATCGGATTCACTCTGGGACCTTTAATCTTGGGAAGGAGTTTTAGAAAAAGGAGATTTTGCCAGCAGGTGGGCAGAAAAAATCTGGAAAGTTCTGGAGCTCCAGATGCCATGGGATAGTCGGAAGGAGGGGTGAAAGGAAGACAGCTGAGGGAAGGTAGCCTCCAAATGGGAAATGTGGGAGGGAAAAAATGGATATTAAAGGCTCAACTTATTTGCTTTACAGTCTTATTTAGGATCAACCCTGCCTCGAGTCCCTAACATATTCTGGAGAAAGGGGGGTAAATATTCTTACCCCAGTCGGTAAAATAGGAATGAAAAACTGACTCACCCCGTGTTCTGAACCTTAGGGATCATAGGGATCCTTCAGGCCAGGCTCCCTGGGTCTGTCTGAAACCCACCCAAAGCCCTTGCTGAACTCCAGTGTGGCCTCCATAGTGATTCTGCCTGGGAGAAAGGTCAAGCTCAGGGTTACGGCCCTGTCCCGGATTACGGGTGTCACTGGGATAAGGCTGGTCCATAGTCCGCTTCCCCAGCAAACGTTCACGGAAGTATGCAGGCAGCGGGCAAGCCACGCTCTGTCTTCTTCCTGGTCCCCTCCAGCTCAGGTCTATGGGGCCGTCTGTGCTGGGTTTGGAGTGCCACATGCCACGCCTCTGGGAACACTGGGCTCCTGGAGGGAACCAGGAAAGCCCATCAGGATAGAGTTCTTTTTACAAATGGGAAAACAGGTGCTGAGATTTCCTAGGCCCGGTAAATCGTAATGGCAGCAGAGAGCAGGAGTCCTTCCAGAACAGGGGTATCTTGAGATCTAGCACCTTCTCCTCAGGTTTTTTTGCTCCCACACGGAAGCTCTCTGTGTAACTCGACCCAGTTAAAAGGGAATCGGTGGCACCAACTAATGAACACACACACACCTCACACGGATTTCAATCTTACACAATCTATTGTGTGAATTCATAAGCCAAGGAATCTTAGAACAAGAAGAACAAGAAGACAGTATTTGGAGATCAGCATCCCACTAGATCGCACAAGGACAACCTCTTTAAAGGTGCAAGAGCTGACACATTTCGGGGTTTGTAGAGGTGATATGGGAGAGGCATTTGTGGGTCAACGATGAGCTTACTTTTCGCCGGAAGTCTTACGAACGCTTCGTCATTGCACATCCTCAAACTTCTTCAGGGTGGACTCCTTCCCTGAGTCTGTTCTGCTCTCAGTAAGTTCATCTCACTTGGTAATTCCAGGTGCCACCTGCTGTGTGTCTATCACTGACCAACGGGGGCAGCTCCCAACTCAGATGCTTCACAAAGGCTGTCAAGAGCCCCATAACCTGAGCATCACCCACCTTGGTTTCCTGGACCAGCAGCTTTATTTACACTCTGCTCTCATCTGAGTGCTCACCTACCCCTCTCCGCTCTCCTTGGGATCCTACCCATTGGTTAAGGGCAAGTTGAAATGTTACCCCTCCTCCAGGAAGTCTTCCAGGGTCTTCCTTCCTTCTGCTATGTATAATTTCCCTTCCGATGTGCTAGCAAATGGCTCTGTTCTAAACCTCTCTTGGATCATTTCATCCCATTCACTCCAATTGTAGTTACCCAGAACACTCTCCTCTTATACAGGAGGGTGGCAGTCCGATCTGGCTATTCATCGAACCCCTGACAGTTCCTAACACAGGGTCTTGCACAGACTTGGGCTCCCTAAGTTTGGAGGATTCATTCAGGAATAACTAACCTCCCGCCCCATCACCTTCTCTCAGGCTCTTCCTCCTCTCTCAACTTTCTTCTGTTCCATTTCTCATTATAAAGTTCCCCTTTATCCTTTGTTGCTTTTCTCACTTTCCCTTTCTCTTTTCTTTTTCTCCTTTCTTCATATAATTAAACATATTCGTTGAAACTCCTTAAAGATTCTGTTGGAAAGGAAAGGTTTCCTCTGCCCTTCAAAATCCTTCTAGATGGACAGGAGACAAACTAATGGAAAAAAATCAAATTTAATTTCATATGTACAGGGAATCCACAAAGACATGGAAGTTCCAAAGATAGGCAAAATGAGGCCTTTATGTCCTTCTGACTCAAGGAGAAGGGGTAGGGGTCGGGGAGTTCCAAGGGAAAGAGTGCAATTCACAGGAAGGTGAAAAAGAGGAAATGTTTGGTAAACAAATGTGTGCTGGGCCACTGGGAAACAACGGGACATGGAGGACTTGGATCAAACAGGACTTGCCACGTTCTTCCCCATCTACTGTACCTCGTTCATACCCTAATGTCGTTCTCTGTGGTGACAGTTCTCTTCCTGGATCCTCTACCTAAATTCTTTTTAGGCAGTTGTGGGAGAGGTAAAGAGCTGTTCCTTAATCTGCTGGGTTTCAATGGCTTTTTAACTCAAAATAATCTTCATGCCAAAGTGGCCTGTCATGGGGCAGCCTGCCCTTGGCCCCCACAATTCATCGATCTGTCAAAAGCTATGGGCTCTCCCCTTAGGAACCGGGCACACATGCTCATGGATCCGCACTCAGGGTCACGGACAGCTTCAGGAGCCCATCCACAGACCCCAGGTAAGGAAAGTCCCTGATCTCAGCTTATCCCCTCCCCATTGCTCGCGCATTCATCCCTTCCCTCAGTCATTCCCCAGCTATTTACCCACCGGCTATTCCATGCCGGGCCCATCTGCCCCAGCCTTGCCCTCACGGGTTTACTGTCAAGGGAAAGGTAACAGGGGAGCCTTCCTTGCCACGAGGATTGGGGCAGGCCTCCCTGAGGAGTGAGGACAGTGAAGAGATGGAGGAAGCGGAGAGCTCCCAGAGGAAGAGGACAGAGGGAAAGACGTGCGTAGACACCGGGTACGAGGAATGGCAAGAAGGCGGAGAGTGTGACTGGGGGGGGACTGCACTACAAGATGTGGCTCTGGAGCAGGTCAGGACAGACCCCTGGGCCTCAAAGAGCACGGGAAGGTATCTGTAGTTCTCCACAAAAAGATAGAAGTGACAGGAAATTCGATGTCTACTCCCCAAACCCACCTCTACTCCCTTACTTACAGGCAGTGGTATTCAGAGAATTAAAAAACTGTCATTCATAATTTACTCATCAGTTATTTATTGAGTGTCTACTATGTTCTAGGTGGCAGACAGTCAATTGTCAAAATGACCGATATGGTCTTTCTTATTGTATATCTCCCCAATCCTCTGGCAAAGGGCTTGGGAGACACTGTATTGGTGACCAAAAGCACCCCATTTCGTACAAGCACCATTTAGATGGGTACAGTGATTCCAGTGATGCCTTAATAACCCTTGTGGAAGCCTTCACCTCCTCCACCTCTGGCTCCCATGATGGCGAGGAACTCTCAGCCTCTAAGATTTGGGGCTCATGAAACTCTCCTTCTTGGAATTCTGACGGGAAGTCAACGGTGTGATAGTCCAGAGATTATTCCCTTAATACTCTTGGTTGAACAAATGAATGAAAGACCAGGCAAACAGATGAATTTGTGTTAGAAAATGAGGCCCCCACATTCAACAGAAGGTCTTTAAGAGATTTAGCCTTTAGCTCTTGGGCCAAAGAAGTGGAGTTGGGACAAATAAAGATGGGCTAATATAAAAATCAAAATCCTAACCAAAATAACAAAGAAAGTCAGGATGCCCTTATGTGAGTATATTTTCAAACAGGACTTCTGGAATGGGGCAAAGGCACAATGCCTGAGTGTATTGTAGGGTTGAGGAGGAAGTGAGGGCCCGCATTCCAGACAGCTCTTTCATAACTCTAGACTAGATTTTTTTTTAAATGTGCATCAACTCACAGACAGGGATTAGTGGATTATTCACAGCATCAGGTCTATGATGTGTGTGACACCAGAGCAGTGAGCAAAGAGCTGAGGTGACAAATCCCAATGGTCCCAAGATGAGTAAGTAGAAGGCAGCCTGGCAAAACCACATTTGGGAAACTGTCTGTCCCTTTGTCCCCTTCCCACGGCATCAACAACCCAGAGCCGATTGCACTAGAACTTCAGAATCTAGGGCTCCCCAGCACAGGGAGAGAAAAGACGCAAGGCCAGACAGCAATCTGAAACAAATCATGTCTTTTATTAGCTCTAGGTCCCCCCCAACCCCAAATTTAATGGGATTAAACCATGAAGAGGCCA